ACTCTGACTCGATTTGGTTGAATATTGAGATGTCATGCCGCATTTTAGCTACTTTAGCTGGCGAGAAGAACTTGGTGCAGAATTTATGAGCTAACTCGTTCCAAGTGGTAATGCTTCCGACAGGGAGTGAATCCAGCCATTCGAGTGCTTTATCCCTTAAGGTATACGGGAACAAACGCAGTCTTATAGCATCATCAGAGATACCTTGGTATCTGAAGTATTGACACATATCAAGAAATCGAGATATGTGTGTATGAGGATTCTCAGTAGCCATCCCATGGTATTGATACCCATTCTGAAACAGTTGAATCACGTTTGTCTTCAGTTGGAAGTTCGGTTGCCCAAATGGAGGGTATACAATACTAGATTGACTTTACACCACCAATGGTGCCATGAAATCCCCAAGTACCGTATTTTCATCCTCTTCCACTGCCACACCTTCATTGAGTGGAATTCCCGATCGATTTTGCTCGTTAGCCATTTGTTGCACCACTCTTGCTTCCCTTTGCCTGTGACGGAATGTGCGTTCAATCTCTGGATCTATAGGCACCAAGTCTTGATTAGGTGCTCCTTGCATGCAAGCCCTGATATGGCAAAATTACACAAAAAGTCAATATAAAATAACAATTAAATAAATCTAGTAAAATTAATAAGTACTAAAATGAAGAAGTTCGAATTAGTGTCACAAAAGTTAGAATTAAATCTAAAATTTAATCCTCGGCAACGGCGCCAAAAACTTGTTCGCAAAATTATTTCTTCTCGATTTTAAAACCCACCGCAAGTGTACGATTCGTTAACAAGTAGTAAAATGGACTATGAGTCCAAGTATCGTTCCCTCGAGGATTGAATTAGCTCTAATTAAACTAATGTGACCTTAACCGAATCTAATTGAATAAAAATTTGGTTTAAATGTGAAAACCCTAATTTTGGGAGAAATCCCCAATTTGAAACCCTAATTGCAAAGAAAACCCTAATTTCAAAATTGGAAACCCTAATTTCGAAATTTCACTAATCTAATGAAATAAACACGCAACTGAAATGTAAATATGCAATTTTAGATAATTTGTATTGAAATGAATTGAAATGAAATCATTAAGAACTTGAATCCCCAATTGATTATTAAAAAAAAACCTAATTTCACAAATTCAACGAATAGATGAACAAAATGCCAATTCAATGTTCCTAAATTATCCAATA